TCCCGGAGAATAATATGAGAATTGAGACTATAGTAACGTCTGAGTCTGTGAAAAAATCTTTTAGTGTAATCATTTGAAATGAAACCTCTTGATAATACTTTCATGAATTTTACATGGTACAGTATACATTTAACTATTTTATAAAATGAGATTTGGGACTTTAATTCTCGAAATTGTGAACCTTGACACTCTTGGGAGTGAAGGGGGAAAAGGCATTCTTTAGTCGCCACCTCTATTGTGGCGTTTCCTCTCCGTAGGACAGCAGTAAGTGTCTCCAGACAAAATTTATGCTAATTTAGTATAATTTATTATAGAACGGAACAAAGTAGGTCGATCTATAACGTGATGCGCCCCTGTGTTCAGAGACATGGGACTTCTAATGAAAACCAAACGTGAAGCCATCGTAAGTTTACTGAAGCCGTCTAGATGATAATATCTACTAAAATTTGAATGCAGTATTGTACTAAAAGCGTTTTACTTTCAAAACATGCTAACGTCATCCTTGCACTGTCATTCGCAGACTCTCGTTTCGACCGATTTATGCTAATTTACGAATGTTTCTACATCATCTAGGCATGAAAACTATTAATCCTTTTAGAAACAACAGCACATGAGGGGTTTCAGATATTTTTGACTTCTTTAGCTCATTTTGGAGATAAAACGGCCTAACAAGAGACACAATTGCGTTGGCGTGTCGTACGTGAAAATATTCCCTTTGTGGTTGGATCAAAGGATTCGGGGTCCACTGAACTTGAAAGAAATCAGGGACTTGTTGGCACTTGTCTCCGTTAAGAATCTCTTCAAAACCCGCTGATGCTTACAGGTTAATGTTAGTTGAAATTGAATATGGGTATCGCGCTGCACAGGAAGCCCAAGGCTCGCAACTACAATGCACCTGTTATCTATAAACTATAAATGACACAAGAACGAATGGAGACTATGCATCGTAAACGTAATAAATATGAAATTATTTTCTCTTTTGGGTTCGACTTAGGAAGACTAGGTCAAAATCAATTATGAAAAAAGCGGTTCATCTCCAACTTTTGAGCCGCTGGACAAAATCCTACGGTATTCTACTGTGATCATTCAAACGAAACCTTTTTGGAAGTTCTCTTTGCTGATTTTACTGGTTTTCTGTGTTTTTACCGGACAATCTTTGGATTTTGCCGAGAGTTAAGGTGTCGAAAGGGCAAGCAATGGATATTCAGTATTCACTGTTGACTTTGCTTTTGCTTGTGGTCAGGACAAATATCAATAATCAATAATCAATAAATAGAGGATATTGCATGGCCGCGCAGAGATACGAAATTTCTCTTCGAGTGTTGAAAAATATTTCACTCGTTCGCTGCGCTCACTCGTGAAATATTTTTTCAACACTCGAAAAGAAATTTCGTATCTCCAAGCGGCCATGTAATGTTCTTTTCATTATATAGACAAAAAGACATTGATAAAATAATAGAGGGAAATTACCGAAATTACGTCATCGATAAACTCACGTGTGAGATTACGGAAAATAAACCACTCGGGTCCCGGATGTGGTTTTTATGAATTTTACGAGTGGTATATTTTCCAGTAAAACACTCGTGAATATGTAATAAGTAGCCTTAGCAACCGTGATGTTTTCACATGTGAAGATAACATGTTATTTTCACATGTGAAGATATCGTGTTTTCGCGCGAAAGCTCACCTGGTATTTGATCGATGTTTATATAATTTACTATTGATCTTAGGCCGGCGTCCGGTTGCACTCCGCCTTACGAAAAGACGACGACGACGGTTACGAAAACGTCACCTAAAAACTGAATTCACGCTGCTTCAGACTTTATCGTACTTATTCCATCTCGTTTAATTCGCCAAATATTGACAGATTTCTTTGGAGTTGAATTCTAAGGATTGTATCAAAGTTCAGGAAAAGAAAAAGAAAATTGTTGTTTTGTGTTCCCGTCCTCACTCCACAAAACGTGAAATTAGTTGTAGTCGTAGCCTGAATTTCATCCAATTACTTCGAGTCGTTATTACTCCCTCAGTTGAGAGGAGAAAACGACTCGAAGCAATCGGATGAATCTCAGGCTATTGTAGTCGTGCAACGACGGCTAAGAAATGTACCAAAAACTGTGATACACTGTGCAAAATTGTTATTTGTTAATCTAAACATATCTAAACTTATTACTTTTTTTGCTGTTCTCGCTGCCGTCGCCGTCATCGCTCCCTATGAACACGTGACGTGAGAAAAGGTTGGAGTTAGCAAGCATCTCACCCGAGAGTGATCAGCTTCAACTGTCTCCTAGCTTTATCAATACTTCATAAAACAGAGCGGTCAGGAGAATTAAGAACATGATCACACAAGATAAATTTGCTTGAATCAGTTTTAACAACTTCTTCCTACTACTTCTAAATACCGGAAATGAATAGGAAATGAATAGGGTCAACAATTGAGAATTTATAATTTGATATTAGGTTTTGAAGGGTTAATAAAAACTATTGCGTTTACCCCCATCATATAGTCAGATGGCTAACTTTGTAGCCTGAAATTCATCCGATTGCTTCGAGTCGTTTTCTCCTCTCAACAACTTACTGAGGGAGTAATAACGACTCGAAGTAATCGGATGAAATTCAGGCAAATAACTTTGGAGCTCGATTTGAACTGGAGGTAGGAAATTACCTTTTTATTTCACCATTCGTTCGGTGCCGGCTTTAACTGTGAAAATTATATGTTAACTTAACAGGTGCCCGGACTCTCCTTCAAAGGCTTGATTCCTCAAGGAAAATTTACGTACAAAATCTCGACGCATGCGCATGCTTAATTTTGTGTTGACGATGCCGACTGGTAAAAGAAATTACTTGTTTCTCGTGATCGCGGGATCAAAACTTAGGAAAAGCTGTATAACACCCTTTATAAGGAAAGTAAAACAGATATACTAAAAACGTACCGGTACATCATCTATTTTACTTATTTTTTAATTTATTTATTTATTTTTCTATTATTCTGGCTTATTAATTTCCTCATGCCGCATGTGAAGGCAGCGAGCGCGCGATATCGCGCGCGCAGATCTCCGCGTTCTCTTTCCCTTCTGTCATTGTGTATCGAGCGAGAGACGACGTACTTGAAAGTTTTCAAATGCCTTTTAACTGCTTTTTTTGGCAATGCTTTCTTTTAAATCTCATTTAAACATAAATGTCTTTGACAACACATCATGGCTGATGAACTTTCCAGGGATGTCTGCACGAATGCAAACAAACGAGCGGTATGTCTGATATGTTTCGCCGCCTTACCTCATTAGTAGCCCTAGTAAATCTCGTGAAAAGTGTAAAACCTATGCTGAAGCAGCTTCTGCTTGTTGTGAAAACATCACATTAAACAGAAATCAGCGTTAGAGTTAAGACTCAAATCCTTCTAAGATTAATTTATGCCACGAGGCAGAATCCCCACAAAATTCGACCCTGGTCGCATCTTTTCGGGACTGAACAAACCGGTGATAGCCAATTTTTCAACTCCCTGGACGAGCTATGCATTCATTATTTATTCTTAAAGTCGAAACTTACCTTAAATTTCGATGAAGCTAGAAAGAAGTAAATTCTGCTACACTTTCCGAAGACAAATTTCCTCTTTGCCGAATGCAAAATAAAAACAAAAGAAAACACTCAAACACTCATAATTTTGGACGAACGCAGATTAAGAGGGCAGACGGGTTTCCGTTTCCGGGATTCCGTCAAGTCGAACGCAAGCCAAAGCGGGGTCTACACGAGTGTAAACATTTATATATATCACGTAACGTTAACAGAAAGCAGGTTCGAAAAAACAGACTAATGAAACTGACCAGAATGTTTAAGGCACGTGCGATATTTATCTTTAGTGAATGCATGCTTGGCTTTGGGGATAAGAAGGCTCTCTGAAAATTATTTTAAAAGATCCGGATTTTCCGTAGTAACGTTAAAAGATTTGAGAACAATGCCAAACCGCATTTTGTAAAATTCTGCAAACGGAAATAGTGCTATGCTCCACTTCTGCCGAAGAGGCTTTGTTTGGACACAGGTACCCCAAGTCAATGTTTCGTAACATAAATATTATAAGGATTTGTATAGAGATTTTAGCGATCGTTGTTTAAGGGTGAAAATGGCAATAAAAAATACATCAGAACTTCTTACGTTGTCGCCTTGTCTAAAATCCCCATACAAACCCTTCTAATATTTATGTTAAGCAAGACTTGGGGTACCTGTGGTTTGGATGGTCACGTTACGTTAGCTGTTTACGGACTGAGTAGGTTCATAACACGATCCTTTGTTATTTTAACTGTACAAAGCAGCATGACGCCGAACTTGATCTAATTACTCTCTCCTAAATTATTTTCAAATCCTTTCAATACATGACCCCAACAAAACTTTTTGAAATGTTCAATACGATAATAATTCAAATATCATTCTCGGGTCGGGTGTGGTAAGGTAGCAGATGCAGCGGCAAACGACGTCAAGTTCGACCAATACCCACGAACTATTTCCTTTATACCTATCTCCACATGATCCCCTCTATCCCACCCTGGGGTATAACTGTGTACCATTGAACCACCTACCGCCAAAGCATACATTGTATATATGTATGAAGGGGCGGGAAAGGTTAGTGAGGAAGAGCGTTGCGTGACGACACTAAAAAGGGCTGTGTAGCAGACTACGGTAAAGGGGGACTAGAAATGGAAAAGGGGCCTGGTGGAGAGATCAGTACAGACTACAGCGCTGCTTTTTTCTTCAGGTGCACGTTCCTGTAGCTAGTGTTAGGGTGGTTTACATTTGAATCTCGTAATCAAGCAATTGTTTTGGCTTTGCTTTATATTTCACAGTGTGATTGGCTGAAAAATTCCCGCAACTTTTTTTTAACCAATCAGGAGTAAAACCCATCTTGACTTGCTCCCAAGTTGTTCCCGCGTCAAATTCTAGATCTGATTGGTTCACTGGTGGTATTTATCTGCATTGTGATAGGCTCCTGGCCGAGGCTGAGATGTTAAGAAATGAAACTTTGCACTTCTAATAATTCTACTCTACAAGTAAATATAAAAAAGTAACAGTACTTCAGACTACTGAGGACCAGCGTGCAGGTGAAGGCCGAGATATGAGAGGAAAATACTTCTTCCAACTCTCTTTACTTACTGAGCTCGCTCCAAAAGTCAAAGCAGGCGTTTGTGGTCAAAAGACACATACCTAAATGGATTGACCGCGGAAAAAGCTTTACCTATGAACTAGGCTGACGTTACAGTGCTTGTGGTCAACTCAAGTTGCTGTATCTGTTACTAATGGGGACATGTAATGACGTTCCTATTAAAGCTTGTGCAAGAGCTAGCTACGCGTTGTGCCGACCGTTTAATTTGAATATTTTTGGTAATACTTCTATTTGGAATAATTTGTTTTTTCTAAGCTTATTTTAATGAATTAAGTTTTACATTTTCTCGAATTCTAATTTTCAACATCGCTTGCTATGGGGATACGCTCCAGCTTGGTTTAACGCTAAAGCCATTCTTTCAGTATTTGAAAAAGTTGCCTGATTACAAATTAAGTTGCATTCTAATTTTAGGTTTGAATTGGAAGCAACAAGAATAAGACTATTATCTATTCTAATATTTATCTGCACAAAATCACGTCCTATCTCCATTTGCCTGAAATCCTCTCTCAAATCGTGTCAACAGAATAATATACCCAAGGTTTTTAATCCAACAAAGATTTTCTTTTCAAATTTTGTGCATTATGTTATTAACGTTAAGGCGGAAAAGCTTGAGAGGTTTTATGTAGAAGTGATGTTTCCATTTGGCTCGCGTTCACCTTTATCTCAGTTCCAAAAAAAGCTTCGTCTCTGGTTTCGAAGGGAAAATTTCATGAGCTTCCATAATATCAAAAAAGTCATGCTCAAAAGAAATCTTGAAAAAAAGACATAATAAAAAGGTTAAACTAATACGTTACGGTTACCCACGAGAGGTTCAGCGCGGTGTCTTTAATTTGCGAAAGTCCTTATCCATGCCAAGTTTAACGTTTTAAACCCTAAGATCTAAATTAAAATTCTCCTTTGTCGCACCTATTCATTTCTTTACTATAGAAGTAGTGGGGAGAAGTTGATAAAATATCAAGCAAATTCATCTTGTGTGATCATATCCTTAATTCTCACAACCTCTCAGTTTTACAAAGCATTCCTATTACAAGGAGAAATTTGATGCTGATAACTCTTAGGGTTTAAAGGGTTAAGGATGGATTGACTCCTTACAGTCTACTGTTTCATCAAGCGATTGCCGATGACGATGAAGACAATGATGATGATGATGATGATGATGATGATGGTAATGACGACAACGGTTTTAATGGTGATGATGATGGTGATAATGATAACAACAATGATGATGATAATTGTGATGATGGTGATGATGATGGTGGTGGTGCTGTTGGTGACGATGATGATGATGATGATAATGATGGTGATGACCTTGCTTCGTTATATCGACATACACAAACGGGAATAGAGACACGCACACCCATTTGGTGATTACACTGACTGATCAATTGACAGTATAAAGTCGCAATTTGCCGTGTTTATATCTACCCAGTTTTCAAAAACCTCGTAATAAGGTTATCTGGAGACTTAATTTATATTTTTCACAACACCAAACAAATTAGACGTTCACAAGTCGAGTTTTTGCAGCAACGAAAGTCGAGTGACCAAAACGACCTTTTAGAAAACCTACAAACAAATCTGGCGATCGTTTTTTAAGTTTGTAGTCAAGTCATTCGACAATCTGCCTTCATTCTTGCGGTGTTAATCTGCATGTGCCACAAAGTTTTACGTGTTTATATTTCGCAATATCTTATACACCATCTGATCCACAAGATCTGCCACTCCCCTACAAAACGATTCTGTTAATTATAATAGGATTGCCAGATTTCAAATGACTTCTTAAAGCTCTGTTGGACGGTTCTAGTAACTATCCTTACGCTTCCCTACAAGCCGCGCAACTTTATCGATCTTGGTAAAAATCTCACCTTTAATTTGCGATCTAAACCTTCCTTTAACTTCATTGTTTAATGTTTGCTCTTTTTTATGGATTTCTCCAAATTTGTGGTGGTCAACGCTAAAGGGTATGCTTCTAAGGCCACGAAACACATCTTTTACAATAAACTGCTGAAACTGGAGTATATTTTATCTGTCAAGAAATATGCCGTGTAATTTTCATAACTTAATAAAAGTCTATTTTTCTGTAATCCTCTCCTCAAATATACTCCCCTTCATCCTAAAATAAAGTAAATCCTGAGTAAAGATATTATGTTATGATTTCTATCACTTCTTAATCCGATTTTTCAACCCTCGGCGACAGATAGCTGCACCTGAGCTCTTCTTCAATTTTTTTTTGTGGATAAATAATCCAAAAGCTATGGATTAAGTTAAAAATGGACAGATATAGATATATAATTATATACAATACAAATATACAATACAGCTCGATCTTGCAGCCTTTCAATTAATTTACAGTTTGTGTTTTAGGTAGTCTAAAAACAGTGCATATTACTTCTTCTCGTAGTCGAAATATTTCTTTCTTTTTATGTTGATCGACAAGCGCACAGCTTGACGGTTCATGATCATATACATGACATACATCGCCATACAGCACGCGCTCGTCACCGGGCAGTATGAACGCGCTCGAATCACGAAACATTTCAGATTTTTTTTTTCTGCACTAGTGTCAAGTTATATCAACAATTTTGAATTTTTGTACAATTTCGAGAAGTGCAAAAACCACACTTTTATGGTGCTTCTTATATCAAATTCTATCATAAATTTGGAGCGTGTTTTTCAATAAGTTCTATTTCTCCCGGGTCGGCTATTTCTTTGGCATATAAAAAGTTCTGTTAAGGATATCATCTCAAACACTATTAAAAACCTAGGCGGTACCTTGCTTGAGTGATCGTAAAGGAACCGCCGGTATAGGTACAGAGAGAAGACCTCTTCTAGTGATTTAATGCTCATGTCCGTTTTCGTTACAAGTTCAAGGATTCGTAGCCAATATCGATAGCACAAGGTCAATAGGCTTTACGCACGGCCTTGGGTAAGGCCAAGGACATGAATAAGTTATCAATCATTCTTGAACATTGTTTGCAAAATTCGCAACTTTCACTTCAGTCCCCGTATAAACTGTTACACCAACCAAATAAAACAATCCAGTTGCTTTCTCGGTTCTCCGCAATAAACTGGCGTAGAGAAGTGCATTCTTGTGCCCACTACAATGAACGAGTAAAGTTAAGAGAATATATCTTGTAATCTTAAACACTTGAATTTAACATACCTTTAACTGTACACTGTTGTAGGCTAGTTACTTAAAATTTCAGAAACATTGCATTGTCTTCATTTTAGCGTTCCTATTAGTTCAGTCAGAAACTAATAAAAACCCAAGGTACTTGAATAAAGTTATTTTTATCATAAGATCATAAGATAGGACATCAAGGCGAAAACCCTCATACCACAAGAAATTGTACAAACACATAAACTGTAATAGCAACAAACAAATTTAAATTTAAAGTCGCACCAAATACCGTGGTCAAACACTTCAGCGAATGAAAGCCTCACCTTACTATTTTCTCTCAATAAAATTGTCCTTTTAGCGTTATCACCAAGATCTTGTCTCCTTCTGTTCTAAAGTGTCGTGATCAGGCAAATTCGACGTGACATGCTACAAGCCTTCTCACGTATAGACATTTCCGAGTTTACGGATATAAACTTCATTAAGGGTGTGGCTGATGTGTACGGTGATATAAAAAAAAAACTTACATGTACCAGAATATCACGTCCGAAAAACTGATATACTATAAACTTCAAACCAAGCGCCCCCAAAATATTGTTACATGTAGTACAAGGTGAATAAATAACGTAAGAGCTGTATTTGAAAAGAATTTTTAAGAGTAGAATATTAAAAAGTCAAGAGTTTTATTCGTCACACGGAATTCACGTGGGCCTGCGAAATCACTACAAATCCTAGACTTTACAGGAAAAACATTCCGTTCCCCTAGCTCTCAGATATTATTACCTTCATCAATTTATTCACTGAGACCTAGAATGAATATAAGTCAAGAAATTAACTTTTGGATCCTTTGAACGAATTCGAAAGCCCACGAAGTAACACATTCATTTAAATAAAACTTCGTTAGAAGTACATGGTACTATCTTGCTGTTTTTCAGTATTAAACGAAATGAAATTGGATATTTTATGTAATCTTTCTTATCTTTTCGGCGATCTTGGACGTGTAAAGAGTTAAGACACTGTAAGACTGATATAAATAGACCATTAAAGAGTGTAAAATACCGACTTCCTAGATAATTTAGCACTTTAGCCTAACTAGAAAGATCTAGAAGATTTCTCAGATTGCATCCATGCTGTGAATGTGCTGATGCAGGCCATGTTGTGAAATCCGTTCGGACATCAGATCGTTATAATCGGCTAAACTCCACAAAATTATCACGATTAGTTGGCTCTAAATATAAGACCGAGTACAAAGTCGACAAAATGGTTTTTAGTTCCGTCCGGACAGCTAAAATATTCCCCAGAGGGACCCAGGTAAAACGAACTGAGGGCATAACCAAGAAAACCTCTTGTAAAAATTGAAATTAATCGTAAAAAAGGACAACTTTTGAAGGCAAATAATATTTTGGGTGTGGCCAGGAGCTGATTTCTCTGCCGTGGCTGAATTTCATTCACCTAGCCAAGACTCGTTCCCAGTCTTCCCTCAACAGCGGAAGTGAGTAGAACATGCGCGCGAGGGGAGATGGCAAGGACAAAAAGGATCTCTCCATTTACCCTCTCTCCTTCCCTTGGTTTCTTTCGCCAATTGGGCTTCTGGTCTCTTGCTATCGTGTATAAATAGTAAGAGCCGAGTGATGTCAAGTTAGCACCTAGCAACGTTGTGATGTTCTGAACCAAGAGCCATAATAACCTGAGATCAGGCTCTATTTTCGTTTCGCTTTGTTAATAGCAGTCCGGCGGACATGGCGAAACGAAAAGAGAGCCCCAATTTCAGCGGTAGCCGTTAGAGAGAATGTATGAGAACCGCTCAAATTAGGCCTGATCTCGGGTTAGAGCCTTTTTGGCTGTTGTCTGAACAGAATCGTTCCATGTAACAGCTTTGGTAGTAAGTCATTAAATCAATTTCCAAGTACACAAATATAAGTAAAAAGGAGAATTTTCAATCATAGACATCATACCTTCTTCAATTGTTATCTAGACACTATCTATTATTACAAGACAGTCATCGCTATTATCTAGACACTTAATTAAATTCACACACATTGACTGCATTCTACGTCATATTCATGTACTTACATTTGCTTTCATTCGTTTTCATCCACATTCATTTAATTCTCGAAGAGGCATCGATTCTACACTAACACCGTAATTGACTTTACACAATGAAATGTGAGATGTTTATTGCCATTAAATCAGAGAAAAATAACAAGTTGACTGACATAGAATCGTTGTCGGAGAGAATCAGAAATGGCTGTTTTTACCTCTGTTTTGTCCATAGAGAAGTGTAAAGGATTCCAAATAAAACGCCAAAAACGACAGGAAATGAGCTAGAAAAAATCCTCTTGCAAAGGCTGGTTTTTACGTGACTAAGAGTGACGTCATGGGTAAGGTTTAAAGTTGGCGTCAAAATTTAAAATTCAAAACATTATTTCAAAGCCTGCGTAGCAGTGATGAATATTTTTTTGCTCAGCCGTGTGATGCAAACGAAAACGCAGATGAAAACGCCACTGCGATTTCACATACGCTATGCAGTGATACAACCCAGACACAAACACAGAAAGAAACGCACGCGCATTTGAGTATCAGTAAAAAACGAAATTTTCCCGATATTGACAAGTGAACAATCTCAACGTACTGAATGCAAACAGAAACGCGACTGTTTTTCTTGCGTCCAACGCATGCAATTAAACGCAAACTTGTGCGCATCAGGTTTAGTATTGAAAAAAAGCAGAGTAACTATTATGTTGACGCAGCGATTGTTTCGACCAAGACGCGAGAACAGGTAGGCACCGACGAAAATTAAGAGCTTGCGTTAACTCACTTCACACAAATGAAATGATAGCGCAAGAGCAAACTAAACGCATGCGCAGGTGAAAGGAAATTTTTCCTCTGCATTAATTGTTTTATAAGCAAGTTTGAAAGACCTCATATTTTTGATATACCTGTTACTTAAGATAAGCTTCAAACTCTTTGAGATTTGTAGCAAACAAAGTTCGTCATTCATTCTGAATCCAATCCATTCTATTCCATTCATTCAAGGAAAGCTTTCTGCCCTGAAGACAGTCAGTGGAATTGAAAACAATAATCACTTTTGAAAGCATCTTCTGCCAGCAGCTTTGTATTGTTATAAAACAAAATGAAAAAAACCTAAACGACTAATAAGAATGGTACAGTTTTTTTACCAATCACCACATTAGTTGACAGAGTTGATGGAAACTTTCTACTACGTGTTTTGCAGCAAATGGCCAGAATAGAA